AACCAGGGAACTTATTCAGAGGCAGCATTTAGAGTATATTACATATTTAATGTGACACAACTGAAAATTATAGATATGTTTTAAATAGATTTTACAATTTAAAATATTTAAATACATATAGTTTCATCTTTTTCAGTGCAATGATCCCTTTGTGGATGGGGAGACACAGAGAAGGGACTCTCCCGCCATTACATATTGTATAAAAAAAAATCGAAGATGACATTTTAAGCATGACATTTAGCTGAACTTTAGTTTCTTAACCTTTAGCTTAGCTTAGCATATTTTATTTATTTATTTTGAAAAGTTTGGGGTTTGTAGGTGTTTTTTTTTTTTTTTTAAAGAAAAACTAATTTTAAATAGATCAGAAGTGACATTAGAGACATTTGTAATGTTACAAAAGATTTCTACTTTAAATAAATGCTGTTCTTTTGAACTTTTGTCAAAGAATCCTGAAAAAAAAGCATCATGTTTTCCCACAAAAATATTAAGCTGTTTTTAACATTGATAATAACAGGCAGTGTGTCTTGAGCAGCAAATCAGCATATTAGAATGATTTCTGAAGGATCATGTGACACTGAAGACTGGAATAATGATGCTGAAAATTAGGGCTGTGACGGTCGCAGATTTTTACCACCGCGGTGGTAATGGACCAACTACCGTCGGTGGCGTGGTGTTGTTATATATATAATTTATATTAATTATATATATAAAAATTATATATTAATCTATACATATATATATATATACACAAAAAATAGATAAATGAGGCTCGATCATCTATTAACACACGTGCGTGTTTTTTTAGCACTTCCGTCAGTGAACACGCAGCCTGCAAAACACTAAAATAAATATCAAAGAAATAATACAGTTAAATAAGAAAATAGCCTTAAATAAGAACGTTAAATACACCCTGTCTACACCGGATGCAAGCGGTGCGGCGCGACACTACAAAATAGTCTATATAACCCATTATAATCAGTGATGTTGTCTACACCGGATGCGGCGCGACATGACACAACAAATCCCCGACAGTAAACTGATGCCTCGTCCTATTTATGATATACTGACACAAAGTTCAAATGTCCTGTAGACAGACTCAACCTGCTGTGTTGCGACACGGCGCGGCAACTGTCCAATGTAGACACGGCTTACTGTTCCACCACCAAGCAACTGGGCGCGTTAACTCCTGGTCTGCACGCGCTCTCTGTGGAATAGGAATCGCGCCGTATGTTTCCACATTTCTTTTTAGCATCTTCCATTTACCGCTGTCTCGTTTGTATTTGGCCAGTTTGGAGAAAGCCTCACCAATACAAACCTGACCAGTTTGTGAAGTACATAACACGTTGCGTTGTGCTAATTTCTCTGTGTTGTGGCTTTTTTCCGTTGTGTTGTGGAGATTTTGTTGTGTTGTGCATATATATATATATATATATATAAATAACACCTTACTCCAACAAACATTACATTTAAACTTATTTAACCTAATTATTTAAAGACACTTATAAAAAGAACTACTATTATAACAAAAAAAAAAAAGAGAAAAAACTAGAACAATGGCAATGAAATAAAACCGCATTCATTATGGGATATATGATGTAACTAACTTGATCTGAAAAAACACAACCTGTGTAATTTGGGAACACAGGCGGTTTGACGTTCAGATTATGACTTGTAGAACAACTTTTACAGATGGAGCCGAATGTGAATGTTCATGGATGCATGTAGGTGGGTGGTTTAGAGATCTGGGGGGATGGGGGTTTAGACTGCAAGTATGTGTATTGGGGAATGAAAATCTCAGTTTACATGTGAGGAGATTTCAAATCTCTCATTCACTTCTCATTACAAAAAAACCTCAATGATTTACAACAGGAGCCATTCAACAAGGCCAAAAATGAAACTTTAATCAATTCTCTCATGTTTTTTTCCTCGCTCCATTCTTTGACTGTCTTTGAAATTCGATAAAACCAAAACAGCCACTGTACCAAAACAGTCTTCGATGGTTCTACCAGTTGTGCCACAAGAAAATTTAGGTCCTATCTGATGATTTCACACTGTAGCTCAGGCTAATGCGTGACGGCTAACCACCAATATATACTGGTTTGGTCTTGTTCAAAACGTGCTTCCTAAATATCATGTGTAGTTTTATTTTGAAGTATAACTGCAGGCAGGATTGTATGTTTGCTCGACCAATGGAAGACAGCGGAAATGTTTGGGAAGCCTGCCAAAGGTAAACAATGATTACGTGCCATGATGTTGCATATGTTGGAAGGCACTGAGAATCGCACTGTGACAGACGTGAGACTGAACAGAGCATCAGGTCGCTTAGTCTGTGGCCCTGCAAAGAATTGTGGGTAATTGGCAGTGACTAATAGCCATCAGGCAGAAGAGCGGGACCCAAGAGGACAGTCAAACTCCCTGCGCTATACTCCCTGAAGCCGTGACAAGCTCCTTACTGCTCAGTGACTGTGGCCAACCAGCGTGAAAGATTGATGATAGAAAGAGGGAGGGAAAAAAATAATAGAGTTTTAAAAAAAAAAAACATTCTGACAAATGCTTGCAGTTTACTAAAGTTTAGCCTTGGCACAAACAGCTCAGATCTGACAAAGCGTTAAGAAGTCTCAGGTGGCGAGAACAAGAGCCAAAGCGAAACGTCTTGACACCGAACGGTGTCAGGATGGTTGGGCGGGTAGCGGGGCTGAGGTTGAAACACTTGCTGAGAAAAACACAAGCAAAGACGCGGCCCTTCCCTCCTACCGTCTCGCCCTATGATGCAATCAGTGTGTCAAACCGACCTACGTTAAAAAGCATTTTCTTTTATACAAGTGAAAGAAAGTCAAACAGAAGGTGAGAGCTGGCCTATGAGAAATTACAAATGGCATCAACGGAATCTGACCAGTCAATATTATTGACTTCAATAGCCATAGTGCATGGTTATATCCAAGGACGATCCAATATGAAAAAGCCATAGGTATTAAAATAAAAAAATTAAAAAATGGATATTGATTTTTAAGTTTGCGAAAGATTACATTTAAAGGGATAGTTCACCCAAAAATTAAAATTCTGTCATTAATTATGTCGTTCCAAACCTGTAAGATCTCCGTTAATCTTCGGAACACAAATTAAGATATTTTTTAATGAAATCCGAGAGCTTTCTGGCCCTCCATAGACAGCAACGTAACTGACTGGCCTATGAGAAATTACAAATGGCATCAACGGAATCTGACCAGTCAATATTATTGACTTCAATAGCCATAGTGCATGGTTATATCCAAGGACGATCCAATATGAAAAAGCCATAGGTATTAAAATAAAAAAATTAAAAAATGGATATTGATTTTTAAGTTTGCGAAAGATTACATTTAAAGGGATAGTTCACCCAAAAATTAAAATTCTGTCATTAATTATGTCGTTCCAAACCTGTAAGATCTCCGTTAATCTTCGGAACACAAATTAAGATATTTTTTAATGAACTCCGAGAGCTTTCTGGACCTCCATAGACAGCAACGTAACTGACACATTCAAGGCCCAGAAAGGTAGTAAGGACATTGATAAAATAGTCCATGTGACATCAGTGGTTGTGTTGCTGTCTATTGAAGGTCAGAAAGCTCTTAGATTTCATCAAAAATATCTTGTGTTCCGAAGATGAACGAAGGTCTTATGGGTTTGGAATGACATGAGGGCGAGTAATTAATGACAATTTACATTTTTGGGTGAACCATCCATTTAACTGTTATTAATCAATGTATACCAACTCTAATATAGTTTGATAACCAATATGGAACCAATACATTGTGCATCTCTAAATATCTGTAAAAAAGCAAAACAAAAAACTAAACCAAAAAAAAAATGAAAAATTCGAAACACTCCACCCATCTGCCACTGGTCACACATAAAGCCCCGCCTC